CATTCTTCTCATGCGATACACCGATATTAGTAACAAGAACATTTCAACATCCATTCTTCTCATGCAATACACTGATATTAGTAACAAGAACATTTCAACATCCATTCTTCTTATGCGACACACCGATATAAGTAACAAAAACATTTCAACTTCCATTCTTCTCATGCAATACACTGATATTAGTAACAAGAACATTTCAACATACATTCTTCTCATGCGATACACTGATATTAGTAAGATCACTTCAACTTGTATTTTTCTACCCTCGATGCAATGATATTAGTATAAATATGTTTCAACAATTCTCCTCACGCGATACACCAATATTAGTATGATCACTTCCATTATTCTTACGAGATAAATTGACATTATAAACAAGAACAATACAACGCTAATTTTTCTATCGCGATACACCAATATTAGTAATAAGAACATTTAAACGTCTATTCTTCTCAAGTTGTTCGTAACAATAGAAAAAGTAACATTTTAGCACCAATACGTCTCACGCGACACACGGATATTAGCAACGAGTACACTTCTCACACAATACACTCTATAAGTAACAAAATCACTTTAACATCCATACTCTGAATGAGAACATCTGACCATCATATTTGCCATTTGATAATTCCAAAACTGCCTCTATGGGTTAGTTAGTTAGTTTGAAGTTAAGCACAAAGCTACACAATGGGCTATCTGTGCTCTGCCCACCACGGATATCGAAACCCGGTTTTTAGCGTTGTAATTCCACAGACATACCGCTGTGCCACTGGGGGCGCCTCTATGGGAAGGAATTCATCATCCAAACGGACCATCAGCCCCCTTGCACATCCAGAGGTGCAAAATCGAAAGTGCGAGGATCATGAGGTGGGTGTTGTACCTCCAAAACTATCGGCTCTACACTGAAGCTGTCAAGGCGACTTTAAATGTTGATGCTGACTGTATGAGTAGACTTTGTGCATAGAATGAGAAGAGTCTTTGTATATAATATTAAAAATATTGTAAATATGTTTCTTTAAGAGTGGTTTATTATTAGATATACACGACTGTCATTTTAAGTTTAATAGAAGAGTATTATTTATTTTATATTCTGCTAGCATTAAGGGAAGTTATTATTTAGTTTATATTCTGCTAGCATTAAGGGAAGTTATCATTTAGTTTATATTCTGCTAGCATTAAGGGAAGTTATTATTTAGTTTATATTCTGCTAGCATTAAGGGAAGTTATTATTTAGTTTATATTCTGCTAGCATTAAGAGAAGTTATTATTTAGTTTATATTCTGCTAGCATTAAGGGAAGTTATCATTTAGTTTATATTCTGCTAGCATTAAGAGAAGTTATTATTTAGTTTATATTCTGCTAGCATTAGGGGAAGTTATGTTTTAGAAGCAACAGTTACGGCAAATTCGCTTACATAATTGTTTACGAATCTTTGTTGTGTAGTTCAATTATTGTAAATTGACGTCATGTTTCTCGAACCTTCTGAATTTTTCTTGTTGCTTTAAGTGAGGATTGTTACATCATAACATCTCATAGTTTGTAGAAAGTTATGGGCCTCAGTCGAGCAATATATATATATATAGGCAACCAAGTTGGTGCGAGTAAGTTAAGTTAAAAAGAAAGAGATAGATATAAATTGGGTGGTCGTGAGTTTAGCCATAAAGTATGTATAGCAGCGACTTTTAAAGGGTAATAATCTCAGACTGTATTGTAACAACAGAAAAAAGTATAATAATAATTCATATTGTTAACTGTGTTCTCATGTAACTGAACCAACCTGCGTGGACTGATGATGAAAAGAGACGATTATCTAAAGCTCTGGATACAACCGTGGAGGTTAACTGTGTAACGAACATTTGTATATACATTTGACTTGTCTTGAATATATAATTTTAAAACAAGTGGATTTTGTGCTGTTTGCTTATCGTTGAAATTTATCGCCAACAAGTCACAGACACCTACTGTAAATAATTCAGCCCCTCCATATACGCAAAAACCTGAGAGTAATGAAAATACTTTAACATCTATACCTCTCACAGAATACGCCAACATTTAGAACAAGAAAACGTTATCATCCTTG